GAAGGCCCCTAAAGGGGATAAAAACAAAAGGCGGAGGGTAGAGCTAACCCTCCCCAAAGCTCTATACAATCACCGCTTTCCAATCTTGTGCAAGCAAAAGAAGATTGTAGTTACAAAAAACTTTCTTGTGTAGTAAAGCCCACCAAGAAGCTAGATGCTTAATATTCACACAAAAAAAATCTAACAAAATCAACTTATCTTCAAAAAGCCGACTATTCCGTTCCTTCCATATCGACCATAAAAGAGCCCTGGCCGCACAATTTCAAAGAACCCAAGCTTTGCCCTTGAGCTGCCTTCCTCCATAACCTTCAGCAATGAAATCCTCAATTCTTCTAGGAATATAGAGAGAGAAATCTAGCAAAGAAGCTATAAACCCCCAAACTTTGAAAACAAAAGGGCAATGGAGAAAAAGGTGGTCCATTGTTTCATTGTTGCTCATACACATTGTGCACACAGAGGGAGAAAGAGTCCAATGAGGTAATTTCCTTTGAAGTTTCTCTGCGGTATTTACCCCTCTATAGAACAAAGTCCAAATGAAGAATTTTACCTTCTTTGGGAATCTAAAATTCCATATCAAGCTTGCAGTAGCTTAATTAAGTTTAGGAGAAGGGGACGTGAGAGCCATGAAGGCTGAATTGACTGTGAAACAGTTGGATGAGTCCACTTTCCACCATAAAATGTCCCTTCCATTTCCGATAGCTGCACCTTCTATTTTTCGAGTGAAGTTTGCCCATCTACTCATTTCCCTTTCAAAGAGATTCCTTCTGAAACCAAGATTCCAGGTTGAGGCCTCTGCACACCAACAATCCGCAATGGACATACCTTCTTAGAGGATAACACAAACAAATCCGGGAAAGTGGTGGAAAGAGGGGCAGAATCAATCCATGGGTCCTCCCAAAATCTGACTTGGACCCCCGAGGATATTTTGAAGAAGGAGAACTTTTGAAAAGCTCTAAGTTCCCTTGTATGTCCCTCCACGGTCTACCGATAGAAGGACCACCCAAAGGTTTTGTCCACCAACCAAAAGACTCCACACCGTAAATAGTGGCTATCACCCATCTCCAAAGGCTATCTCTTTCCACTGTGAACCGCCATAACCATTTCATTAATAGAGCATTGTTCCTTAGCCTCAAAGAACCAATTCCAAAGCCCCCCTATTTATGAGGCACAGCCGACCAAGACCACTTCACCAAATTCCCCACCGATCTAGAAATCTCACCGTTCCATATAAAGTCCCGCATAAGCTTCTTCATAGACTTTATGACTGTCTCTGGAGTTTTGAGAATCGAATAGAAGTATATGGAGATGCTATTGAGGATCGACTGAGCAAGAGTAAGCCTACCACCCTTGGAAAGAAGCAAAGAACTCTATTTTTGGAGTCTTTTGTGCATTTTGTCCACCACCGGAGCCCAAAAACTAGTGGTCTTGTGGTTCCCTCCGAGGGGGAAACCTAGATAATTAAAAGGGAAAGAATCCATCTTGCAGCCAAAAGAGGAAGTCCAGAAGCTAACCTCTGACCTTGTGCAATTAACACCAATCACAGTAGTTTTTGAAACATTCAGAGAAAGACCCGATACCAATAAAAACACATGAATGAGACCCCACCAATTCTCCATTAATTGAGTTGAAAAGGGGCAGAAAATAAGCACATCGTCGGCATATTGGAGGTGAGTCACCTCTAAGGAACTATTTCCAATATTGAAACCTTTGAGAATATTCCTCTCATTAAAAAAGTGAATTAATCTACTCAACGCATCACCCACAATCGTGAAGAGAAAATGGGAGAGGGGATCCCCTTGTTTTAAGCCCCTCTTGTCCTTTATCTTACCTCTAGGCTTTCCATTAAGCAACACAGAAAAGTTGGTAGAAGAAAGACACCCCCTAATCCACCTATGCCACCGAACCCCAAACCCTTTTGCCTCTAGAACAACATCTAGGAAATCCCAATCTACTTTATCATAAGCCTTTTCGAAATCAAATTTGAGGAGAAAGCCTTTTTTCTTCGAGTTCTTCCACTGACTCACTGTCTCAGAAGCCACCATAATAGCATCAAGGATTTGTCGACCTTCCACAAAGGCTGCTTGGGCATCATGAATAATGCTAGGGAGCATTTGTTTCAAACGGGCAACAAGCACCTTAGCAATATTTTTGTATAAAGAAGTGACCAGACTAATGGGCCTATAATCTTTGACTTTCAGAGGGTTTGAGTTTTTGGGAATCAAACAAATGTAAGTTTCATTAGTCTTCTGGTTGACAATTCCCTTCTCGAAAAAATCGTGGAACACAGTAACCAAATCCAGTTTAATAATGTTCCAAGAATTTTTAAAAAATTCATCGCTCATACCATCCGGACCCGGAGATTTAAGAGTGCCCAAATCTGCCACTGCCTTTCCTATCTCATCCTCTGTGAAAGGGTTTTCTAGAAGAGCCATATGGGAGTCTTGGAGGGGAACCCAATCCAAATTCTCAAATAGAAAGCCTCTGTCCATGGTGGTGGAGTACAAGGAGGAGAAATATCTCAAGAATTCTGCTTCTATATCTTCCCATTTAGTCAAAGAGGTGCCCTGTTCAGTTTGAATTTCAGCTATGTAGGCCCGGTTTTTCTTGTGTGCAGCCCATCGGTGAAAGAAGTTCGTGTTCTCGTCTCCCTCTTGCAACCATTTTATTTTCCCTTTCTGCATCCACAATCTTTGCTCACTGAAAGTAGTTTCAATCAAGCACTCTTTTAGCCCCTATCTTCTATTGAAATCATCTTCAGAGAGAGAATTAACTTCTTCCTCTCTATTCAAAGCATCTATGGCTTTCATAAGATCCATCTTCTTGAGGCCAATGTGGCCAAAAACCTCTATGTTCCAATTGGTGAGCACCCCTTTCAGACCCTGAAATTTCTTCATGAAACCATAACCCGGCCATCCTTGAAGAGGATTAGTTTTCCACCATTGATCAACCAACGGCATCAAGAGATGGGACTCTAACCATGCATTTTCAAATCTAAAAGGAGTAGGGCCCCATTTAATATCTTCAGACGCCAATTTAATAGGATAATGGTCAGAAGTGGTAAGAAAGAGTCTAGTAGCCCTTTGATCTGCAAAAATTGAGACCCATCCCTTAGATAAAAGAAAACGATCTAACCTCGAGAGAATTGGAGAGGAATGCGTATTAGACCAAGTGTAAGAACCATTGTCCAAGGGAGAGTCCAGGAGGTCGGTGTCTTCAATAAAGGAATTAAAATCCTTCATACTTCGAGTAACTCTTTCGCCTTTACCTCCCATTTTTTCCGAAATCCATCGAGCCACATTAAAATCCCCTGCTATACACCAACACCCTTGACAAAGGCCAGCTAAATCCTCCAACTCTCGCCAAAAAATAGCTCTGCCTCTAGTAGAAGAAGGCCCATAGATACTTGAGAACCACCCTGTCCTGCCATCAAAAAATCTGAAATTAAGGAAGACATAGAAGGAACCCAACAAAGAATCTAAAGTGGTTAATTTCTGTTCATTCCATAACATCAGGATACCCCCAGCAGTGTCCTCTGCCTCAAGAGCCAGCCAGCCGATATTACGAGAGCTCCAAATCGACTTAATTAACCTCCTATCTACTGAGCTTTTCTTTGTCTCCTGCAAACAAACTATGTCTGGATCTTCTTTAAGAAGAAGATCCTTGATCAGAGCTCTTTTTGAGGCAGCTCCAATACCCCTCACATTCCAAGAGATCAGCTTCATTGAGCCACCGAAGGGCCCTCATCTACATTCTGCCTTGCTATCCTGGCCTTATTTTCCCAAGTAGCCAACAGATTCTTCAGCTCCCTACTCTCTGTATTGTTTGATTTTGTACCTTTGCTCGTAACTTTGTTTTTATTTGGGATTGGACGAATACAAAGATTGTTCTCCCAAAGAAGAACCACCATCTTTTTTGTAAAAGGGAAGACCTTTTGTGGCGAAGAGACTTCTAATGATTCTTCCTCCGCCCTGTCAAGGTCATTACTAGCTAAAGGTTCTGCCTCAATTGCCATCAACTCCTTCCCCTGTCCATCAAGGTCATTGTCATGCGACTCCTCAAAACAGGCTTGGTAACCTTCTGGGAAATCCTGCACAAAGTCAACGGGCTGTGGACTGTCTGGATAATCAATTTCTTCACTGGACCAAAAGGATTCTGATGAAACCTCAATTTGTTTACCTTTTTTCTTTTCTTTTCTGTCTATTTCTTCCTCCCTAGCCAATTTTCTCTTCTGACGCCTTTCCTCTTCAGTTGAAAAGACTATACCTTTTTGAATGGATGGGGATTTCATAGCACAATTTGGCTATAGAATAATATTTCAGTCTATGTTTTCTTCTCAGTTTTCTATCCCAAACCCATCAACAATATCAAGATATTATAATTATGACTCCCATAAAAACTAGAGGTCTCTTCGGAATCCTCGTGGTTGAGTGAAGATGCGCCGGTGAACGAAATTCCTTCTTCTCCTACAGTTTTCTCGTGGTCGAGGAATGTTTAGAAACGGAGGATCCTGGAAAGGGGAGAAAACTTGTTATTGTAGATGTCAATCCTATTGAACGGTAGCTATTAGAGACGGTGGGACTTAGAAGGGCCAGTTGAGACGGGTAAGATTGCAGATGCTCCTCCAGCTATTCTCCCCTTCACAAAAAATCTGGTGGTTGCTCTTTGGGAAAATAGCCTATGTATTAGACCTATTCCGTGTAAAGGGAAGGTGGGGGGAAAAGGAGGCAAGAGTAACAATGTAGAAAGTAGAGAATTGAGAAACTTGCTAGCTACGTGGGAGAATGAAGCAAAAGCAGCAAAACAGAGTGTAGAAGAGGGTAAGGAGGTTTCTTTATGAAGATAATTTCTTGGAATGTCTGAGGTTTGGGAGCAGCCTCCAAAAGAGCTCTTGTGAAGGATATCATTAAGCGTGCGGATCCAGATGTAGTTTGCTTTCAAGAAACTAAAAAAAGTGAGATTGATAGATTCTTAGTTAAATCTATTTGGAGTTCTCGGCGTGTGAGCTGGTTGTCTTTAGATGCGAAAGGGACCTCAGGAGGTATTCTTCTCTTGTGGAATGAGCTGAAAATTTCGGTTATTGATTATGTGGTGGGAAGTTTCTCCCTTACCATTCATTTCTCTTTAGTGGATGGTAGGCTCGGCTAGTTCACAGGGGTCCATGGGCCGTCTTCTAGAAGAGGTAGAACTAGCTTTTGGAGGGAATTAGAAGATCTGGGAGGTTTATGTCAGGTTGTGTGATGCATTGGAGGAGACTTCAACGTGGCCCGCTGGTTATCAGAGAAGCAGAGTACTCGTTCTGGGAGAATTACTCGTAGTGTGAAGGAATTTAATTCTGTGATTGAAGCCTTAGATCTGGAAGACCCCCCATGGATAATGGCGCTTTTACTTGGTCTAACTTCAGAATTTCTCCCACTCTCTCGAGGTTAGATCGTTTTTTGGTAACTAAAGATTGGTTGATGTCTTTTGCAGATCAAAGGATTGTTCGTCTGAGTCGCCCTACTTCAGATCACTTTCCCATTCAGCTGGCTCCGCTTAGGCGGAGATGGGGTCCAACTCCGTTTAGATTTGAAAACGCTTGGCTCGAGTCCCCTCTCTTGCTCCCCCTAGTCGAACACTGGTGGTCTTCCCATCCCATGAGTGGTTGGCCAAGTCACGGGTTCATGGAAAAATTAACAGGCCTGAGAGGTGTGCTTTCGCGGTGGAATAAGGAGATGTTTGGTCATTTGGGGATCAAGAAGAATTCTCTTACAAATGACATAGAAGAGCGGGACAGGGTGTAGGAAGACCACCCTTTGTCTTCAGAGGAGTGGGAAAGGAGAAGGCTTTTAACAGGGGATCTTTAGGAGATTACCATTTGTGAACAAAGGATGTGGGCTCAGAAAGGGAAGCTACGTTGGCTAACCGAAGGTGATGAAAATACAAATTTCTTCCGTCGATGGTCCTCCCAAAAACAGAGTAGGGCTTTCATAGCAGAGATTGAAGACGAACAGGGTAGACTTTTGACTGAAGAGGTGGACATCGTGGCTGAATTCTTAAGGTTTTTCTCCTCCCTTTATACTTCAACGATGGATCAGTGTTTTCATTTAGAGAATATTGATTGGTTCCCCCTTATAGAGGCTCAAAGCTCTCAGTTGACGGTAGCCTTTTCAGAGGAAGAAATCAGTAGGGCTGTGAAGGATATGGGTTCTCTAAAATCTTCGGGTCCAGACGGGATGAGTAACGAATTCTTAAAAAAGGCTTGGAACATCTTCAAGACCGATTTGGTGAAAGTGTTCCAAGATTTTTTTGAGAAAGGGATTATAAACAAGAGTACAAATGAAACCTATATTTGTCTCATTCCAAAAAAGAGAAATCCCTCTTCGGTGAAGGACTTTAGGCCAATCAGTTTGGTCTCATCCCTATATAAGATTGTGGCAAAGGGCCTCGCTGCCCACCTCAAAAAAGTTCTGCCTTTAATCATCTCAGATGCTCAAGCAGCTTTTGTGGAGGGTTGTCAAATCATGGATGCTATTTTAACTGCTGCAGAGACAGTGGGGCATTGGAAGAAATAGAGGAAGAAGGGCATGTTATTAAAACTGGATTTTGAGAAGGCTTATGATAGAGTGGATTGGTCTTTCCTAGATGCGGTGTTTCAAGCTAAAGGTTTTGATTGGAGATGGCGCAAGTGGATTCATGGGTGCCTGTGTACAACTAATTTTTCTGTCATTATTAATGGAAGACCCAGAGGCAAAATTTTAGCAAAAAGAGGCCTTAGGCAAGGTGATCCCCTCTCTCCTTTTCTTTTTACTTTGGTGGGTGATGCTCTCAGCAGGTTGATACACTTTTGCCATGAGAAGGGAATTATTAAGGGGTTCAAGGTGGGAACTAGTGATGTGGAGGTTACTCATCTTCAATATGCTGATGATGTTTTGATTTTTAGCCCTTTCTCGAAACAGAATCTGGAATTGTGGTGGGGTTTGATCAATTTTTTTCCGTTGACTTCAGGCCTCTCTCTAAATGTCACAAAAACAGCTTTGATAGGCATCAATTGTAGTCCCTTGGAAACTGCGGCTTGGGCTTCTTCTTTCGGATGTAAGCTAGAGACTTTCCCTTTTTCTTATCTGGGTTTTCCTCTTGGGGGTAATCATAGAAGAAAGTTTTTTTGGGATCCTTTACTGGAGAAAATGTGTAAAAGGCTACAGAAATGGAAACCCCTCCTACTCTCCAAAGGAGGAAGGTTAACTTTGGCTGAAACTGTGTTAAATAGTCTTCCCCTTTATTATTTCTCGCTTCTTAAAGCTCCTGGAGTGGTTATTAAGGCCATGGAGAAGTTGATCTGGGATTTTATCTGGAATGGAGGCACCCATAGGCCCGTGGGAAATTTGGTTAAATGGTCTTGGACTGCTCTGCCTACTAGGCAGGGGGGCCTTGGAGTGGGCTCCCTTGAGTTGAGGAACAAAGCTCTTTTGATGAAGTGGCTTTGGCGGTTTGCTTTAGAAGGAAAAGCCTTGTGGAGAAGGGTTGTTGCTGCTATATATGGGGTGGATTCACATGAGTGGTTTACTAAATGCAACACAGGTCTTCGATTGGAAGACCTTGGATAGATATTGGAAGTACGCGCAGTGGTTTTATGAATTTTGTAGCTTTCAAGGTGTCCTCTGGAAATAGAGTTCGTTTTTGGGAAGATACTTGGGCAGATTCCTCCCCCCTTGTCACTGTTTTTCCCGACATGTTCATGCTGTCTAACAAGAAGGATGCTTCGCTTTCAGAGTGTTGGAATTCTGTTTCTCAAACGTGGGATTTGGCTTTTAGAAGAAACCTCTTCGACAGAGAACTAGATAGCTGGGCTACTTTTACTAAAAAGTTGGATGGAGTGCTACTTGGGCAGGGTCAAGACAGAATGCGGTGGAAGGAGGATCCAAGTGGGGTCTTTTCAACTAATTCAGCCTTTTTGGCCCTGACTTCCCCTTCTCCAAAAATGAACACTTCCATTTCGTTGCAGATTTGGAACTTTAAGGTTCCTAAGAAAGTAAAAGTGTTTTTGTGGTTGATGTTCTATCGGGGGATTAATATAGCCGACAAGCTTCAGCATAGACTTCCCACATGGTCTCTCTCACCGTCGGTTTGTTTGTTATGTAATAAAGACTCCGAGACACTAGATCATTTATTCCTTCATTGTCAGGTGGTTTCTTCAGTGTGCTTTTACTTTGCTGCCATGGTGGGAGTGTCTTTTTGTTTCCCACGAAAGATAGATGAGTTTATTTCAGAAGGCTTCGGGGGAAGGGCTCTAAGAGGTAAAGCTTTTATTCTTTGGAATTGTATGGCTAGAGCCTTACCTTGGCTTTTGTGGAGAGAAAGGAATAGTAGACTTTTTGAAGATAAGAAGTCCTCGGTGGATTCTCTTTGGGTGAATATACAGCATATGGCTTCTTGGTGGACTTCCATCCACAAGAAGGTTTTTTGTAATTATAGTCTTCAAATGATTATACGGGATTGGAAAGCTGTGATTGTATAGTTCTTTGGGGAGGGTTTTCTCAACCCTCTACCTTTAGGTTGTCCTTTTTTGTGAATGGAATACAATTTGTCTGTTTCTTATAAAAAAAAGAAGAATCATTTTGAATTTTGTTCATTTGGAATCTATTCTTCTCCTTCCCCTCCTATTTTATGTAGGCGAGGATGCTGAATCAAGCAGTTTGGAAAGTTCCACTTGGACAAGCTCAAGAGTAACTTCTTTCTGGAGTCTCAACTACTTGGATTAATGATTCATGTTCCTTCATCTATGACTTTATACTATTCTTTCGTTTGATGGTTTATCAGGTGGCTGAGTCAGTGTCAAAATACTGCGTTTTATTACATATTCCTGCTGGAAGCACTGATGCTGCTCAGTTTTCGTCAATATGTATCCTTATATTAACTAACACTTTTCAGCTCTCATTATTATTGCATGCTACTGCCCATGGCTTTACTTTCTGGTATGAAGGTGTATCTTGGGGCATAAAACTTGGTCTATCCATCTTTACATTTTGGCCATCTAACTTCTATATGAGGACCATAAACTAGAATCTCCCAGTTTGAGCTCTTCATGAACTTTTCCAAGCCCTTGCCAGGAGACTGCCCCTTGGGGGCTATCTATTGAAAAATATCATGTTCTTTTTTTTTTTTTTTTTTCTTTTTCCATTTATAAAATAATAATAAAAAAAGGAATCTTATTGTAATAAAAGGAAAATTACACAATTGGTCTATGAGGTGTGAATGGATTTCACTTAGGCCTCAAAATTTGAAAAAGTTTCAATTTAGACCCTGGTCCCTGGGTTTGGTCCCTTGCCATTTTCATGCTTCTGTCCTCCTGTCTAGGTGTATGTATCTAAAGTTCTGTAATTTCTTTCAAATTGGAGTTTTTTTTTTCCTTTCTCTTTTTGGGCGGTCATTTTTTAGGTCCCTTTTGTATTCGATCATTTTTCTTTGCTTGGTTTTTCCATATATCTCTTTTAAAAAAGACTCCTGGACCTTTTCAAAATATTTTTGATCATAAGATGTCTATAAAATTGGTATTATTGCATTTCGTGTGTAGACTGCTAGTTGGTTGTGTAATAGGTCATCTCTCACTTGGTTTATTAGGTTATTGTGGCTTGATGAGATCCGGCATACGATATCTAAACAGGTTTTCGTGTTTCTAAGCTTGTGGTTCACTGTCAGTGTTGTTCCTTCTCAAACTGGGATGTCATCTTCCTTGGCAAGCCTCTCAGATTTATATATATTAATTTTCCTCCCTTTTCTTGCTGACATTATGTACTCATTCTCTAATACCTTTCAAGGTTGAGGTTGTTTCCTTTCATCAGTGTGCTGTAGACCCACAGAAATCTGTTCCATGTATAACTGCTGTTGGATACAATGGTATACAACTTTGGCAAAATGGTAAGGATTGTTGGTGAGATGTGTCCCTTGCAACAGTTTGAGCTAAACATATTATATGTTTCTGTTTGACTTCTGTTTTTCTGTCTTGAAATATTTTAGAGGGCTTCATTGGTGCTGACGATTTGGCTTTCAATTTAGAGAAGGCGTGGTTGGGTCTTCATATCCAGGTATGTTACTATTTCCTATTAATAATTTTACTATTTTCATTTAAAATATGGAGCTCTAAAGGTTAGGTGTATGCTATACCTTGTAGAAGTTGTCAGATTTCAAACGAATGTGTGTTTGGAGGCTCAATTGAAATTTTAATGTACATACTAATCTTCCATTCCTTTTGTTGAGAAATATATATGTCGCTCTCAGTCCACACTTATAAAGGATTAGAGCTAATTAATTATTGCTTCGGATTTTTTTTTGGGATAAAAAATCACATTTTTATTGAGAAAAATGAAAGCATACGAGAGTATACAAAAGGATCCAACCCAAAAGGAGTCAAAACTAAAAAAAGGGTTCTAATCAAGCAAAATAGACCTAAAGGATAATTACAAAAGTCGTTAAGCACCGAAACCCAATGAGAGGAAATCTAACCGTCCTCCCAAGGTCTTTCCATCCCTTTAAAATTTATATTGTTCTTCTCACTCCAAAGCACCAAGGATGGCACAGAACTGGCATTATTGCTCAGAAAATGAAACTGGGGATTTAATGTCGAGAAAGAGGCCTCATGGAGAAAAATCATAGTTAGTATTTACGAGCAAAAGTTCATAGTTGGTGCAGTAAAAGTAGTCCAAAAGAGCTGAAAGGGTCTCTAGTGCCCCTTTCCCAGGGACTCGAGCAATCAGTCAAATTCCACTCTAGAAGAGCTATGGAAATTTCGGGATGATGTGTTTAGTTATGACCTGTTAAAGATGAATAAACCACCACTCAACCCAAAAACTTAAGCTGATGGGTTGGGTAAATTTAATTCATTTATGAGTATCTCAACACTCCCTCTCACTCGTGTGCTTAGAAAATTGCAACAAGACCCAACAAGTGGAAATTATAATTAATGGGAAGGAAACAACAATGCAGGGGTTCAAACACAGTACCTCCCGCTCTGATACCATGTTAAAGATAAATAAACCACTACTTAACCCAAAGACTTAAATTGATGGGTTGGGTAAATTTAATTTATTTATGAGTATCTCAACGTGACCTCAAGATTGGAAATCAAATTTCTGACCCTCATTATTTTTTCCATGTTTAAGTCTTTCAAAATTTTCTGGTATGTAGACAAATTATTTGAACTTGGTTCTTAAAGAGGAATTTTAATAGGAAGCTTTAAGGTATCTTCCTCACAATATTGATGTTCAAAACTAGAGAAACAGTTGTAGTGCTTACGAAAGGTGCCGAGCCGTTAGAGAGGGTTGGGGACTCTCCTTCCCAATCCTTACACAAAAGGCAAAAGATGCCTTTCCTGGCCAAACCCAAAAGCATATGAGTACTCCCTACACGAAAGCCCTTCCAATAGCTATTGGT